CCCTCCCCACCTCCCTCCCCCCCCTTCCCGCCCCCTTCCACAAGGTCATCCACCCCCTCACCGCGCCCCACTCAGGACCAGGCTGAGCACCTGAGCCAGACCAGGCGATGCCCAGCTCAGTGTCTGCCCGCAGGGAACGTGGGGCACAGAGAGACAGCACCCAGCTACAGAAGAAATATATTTTTATTAGGGAAGCACTCTGCAGAGGTGCCAGGCTCTGTCGTACCAAACTAATCCCTCCAACTCCACTGGATGGGACACAGGACCCCAAAGGGCGTCCAAAAAAAAACCCCCCCCCCAGCCATAAATAGTTCTTTCCTCCTGGCCAGAAGCAGCCCCAGGGTGGGTGGGAGGGAGGCATCGGTCGAAACCAGCTCGACCCCACACCAGGCATGGCATGGCATGGCTGTGTTCGGACTGGTGACTGGAGAGCCGCACCTAGAGCCTGGGGTGCCGGGGCAGGGGTTTGCTGCTGGTAATGGATGCCGGGCACATCCCCGGTGATGCCTTGGGCACCGAGCAGCAGCACCCTCTCTCTCCTGTTCACCGTGAGCCCAACAGACCAGAGTGGGGTGCGGGAAGCGAGTGGCTCCGTTACTGCAGAATATACCGTGGGTATGTCTAGCACAACAAGCGCTGCTTATGCGATCGATAATACTGCTACAAAAAAGTGGGGGGAATATGTCACGCACAGACCCCCCTGGGCTGGCAGCCTGGCTGGGTCCCTGCGGTCCTGCCCTGCATGGGGAGGGTGAGCTGCCAGACCCAGGCAGGGAGCAGGCAGCAGGGCACGGATGGGGAGGACCAGGTCCTGGAGCAGGGGAGACTAAAGGAATAAGGGAGATGAGAGAGATGGAGGGGGGGGTGAAATGGAGGCTCAAGGCTCTTCCAGTGTCCCCTGCCCAGTCCAGGCTTCCACGTCTGCTGGCCATGACGGCAACCATCCTTCCTCCCAGCGCGCAGCCAGCCGGCACGGGGCCAGTGCCCAGCTCCTGGTCACTGCACTGCCTGAGCGGGCACAGTGGCTGCTCGGGGCTGCTCCAGGCTGGCTTCTCGGCTCTTCTTCCTTGGAGGCTTTTTAATGGGGGTTTTCTTGGCTGCTTGCTCGTTGGGGAGAGCCTGGTCCTGGCTGCTGCTGATGCTTGGCTTCTCCGCCTGCTTGGGCTCCCTGGCCGCTGCCTCAGCCACCCCGGGGATCAGTTTTTGCAGATGGGGAGAGGTGGGCAGCAAGGGCTTGCTGGTCTTCTGGCCGCTGGCAGCCGCCGAGCGCTTGGCTTTCTGCGGAGGTGTGGGCTTCTCCCGCTGGGTGCCCACCCCATTTGCCCGGGTGCCTCCATCACCCTTGTTGAGGCTCTGAGTCTTTTCCTTCAGCTGGGCAGCCAGCTCGGAGGCCAGGTGGGGATGGAGGGGCTCGGAGCGGGTTTTGCTGGTGCTGGGACTGCAGGGAACATCCCTGTTGTCCCCAACCCGTCGCTCTGGCTGGAAGGCACTCATCTTTCGGAAGGCGTTCTGCACCGCCCCGTTGATGCTCTCTGTTGTCTCTGAGCTGGCTTTGGTCCTCTGCTTGGGCTTGGAGGGTGACTGGGGCTCCTCAGCAAGGCTGGCTTTGCCCTCGGGGACGCCAGGCTCCTTTGGTTGCTTCTGTGCTTTCTCCTTGCCCCACGCACCACCCTTCTCCTCTGCTCTGCCCTGCATGCCGGCTGATGTCTCGCTTGGGCTCCTCTTCCTCTTAGCCAAGCCCTGGCCTTGCTTGGGGCTGCCAGACTGGGCAACCACTCGCTCTGGGGACTGGCTGGGTGCTGGCAGCGAGTTGGACTGGCTGGAGTTGTATCTGCTGTGGATCCAGGAGACTTTGGGCTTTGTGGCTGGGTCTGGGGGCCGCGGCTTGGTCCTCTCTGGGGATGGTGGCTTCCTGGGGCTACGGGGCTCTGTGACAGCATCCTCCTCCTCCTTGGACTGCTTGGAGAGACGGGCAACCCTGGCATAGAGTGCAGCGCCGGCTGAGCCTGAGCCACAGGAGGAGCGCTCGCTGTCCGAGGACTTGAGCAGGGGCGTTTCACTGCTGTCGGCTGGGAAGGCTCTGACAGAGCCCATCTCTTTCATCTCTTTCAGGAAGGTGTATTCGCCTGCTTCCTCCCCACCAGCCGGGGCCACCAGCTTGTCCCCAGGGCTGGCAGGTGTCCCCCTGTCCCTGCTGTCGCCCAGGCTCTCTGTGGGAGGAGATCATGGGAGTGTCAGGCAGGGACGTGGCCCGGGCAGGAGAACAACTGAGATCCTCCCGCAGCACAGCGGGATGGCATCCCATCTGGTTCCCCTGCACCCTGGTGCCCCCCACAGGTTCCTCTGTCCCCTCCCGATCAGAGACCCCAGCACAGGAATGCTCTTAAAACAACCCCAGAGCAGCAAATGCTGGAGGAAGCTCCGAAACTGCATGGGAGGCAACGTCAGTATCTACATCCCTTCTCAGGGCACAAAGAGCCACGGTGACATGGTCCCCACCATGCAAGTGTGACACCTCTCCACTGAGCAGGAGGTGGCCCCTGGTGATAACCCCAAAGTCCCTGAGGAAGTGCCTGGTCCCCCTGCTCACCTTCATGGGGGACACAGTACACTGGGCCTTCATCTGTGGTGTCGAAGGAGGAGAAGGAGCCCCGGGATGACCAGGATGGGGAAGGCTGCTCCACCATGGAGGGTGGCTCGATGAAGCTGCAGTTCAGGGTGTTCTCCAAGTCATGGTGGGCCACTGTGAGAGGAAGAAACCGCTGTCAGTCCCTGTCCTGCCAGACCCCCTGGACCCCATGCCAGGTAGGCAGGTCTTGGGGACAGGGACAGCATCGCAGGCATGGAGACACTGCGCATCCCCATCAGGTCCCCCAGCCAAGCATCCACATGCAGAGGGGTCAACCAGTAATGGTGGTGACCAGCATCCCTCATGCTTGGGAACAAGTGGCTGTGGACAGCAGAGCCCATGCAAGCCTTACTTCCACCTATGCCCCCTCTCCACGGCAGGTCTCCAGCTGCCCAAATCGAGGATACATATGGCAAAGCCACCCAAAGCCCTGGGTCCCATGACGACCTGGTGAGCATCCCAGTGGTCATCCATGAGCTGCACAACCCGGCATGGCCACCTCACAAAGAAAGTCCCGGTGCTGCAAACATCCCCTTCCCGGGGAAAGAAAGCAACTGCTGGCTTTAATTGCACTGATTTCCACTTCAGCATCACTGTTTGCATTCTCCTTTTCCTTCTGCAAAAGGCTGCCTGCAGCAGGGGGATGCGCAGCACTGTTTTGTCCCAGTTTTGCCACTTGTCAATCTCTTTGCCAGCCTCTTACATCCCAAAGCTGAGGAGGAGCATCTCACTCACCCCAATTCTGCCCCACTGCTGTGGGGGCTGCCCACAAAGAAGCTGAGCAAAAGAGAAAAACCACCAGAGAGGAAAAATTTGTTAAAAATACGTTTTGTTCCAATGGTTAAAAGAAAGCTGAGCAGTGACAGTTGCCCAGGCTGGGAGGGACTGGTTTTGCTGTTTGATCCTTTTTAAGGCTTGTCACCGGTTAAGTTCAAGTCTCAACCCACCCTGTGGTGCCTTCCTGGGTGCATGCAGCTCCGGCATTGTCCGCAGGGTACCCTCAGGACCACCAGCTGGGTGGAGGGGGCAGACCCTCCTGGAGAGCTGGGCAGCATGACATGCTTTTGTCCCCATCCCCTGCCTGTTGGCTTTTGTCCCCATCCCCTGCCTGTTGGCTTTTGTCCCCCAGGGTGGTGGCACATGCTGCAGCCCAGGCAGAGCCCTGCAGGGCAGGTTCCCCCTGCACAGCAGCTGTACATTAATACATCCAGGTATTCAGAACCTCTGCCCACCCATCCCAACCATCTAAGTCATGCTCCAATTTCTGCTCGGACTGTTGGATTCTTGCACCACATCCCTGTTTCACAACAAAATAACTCTAAGTGTATTTGGATGCCCACCGGAACATCTATTCTTTTTTAGGGAATCTGGCTTCAGCAATGCAGGGTCATCAAAATGATGGCAGTGATGCACGTTCACCCCTGCATAGTTTGGCTTCTTGAAGAAAGGAAAAAAACCCCAAGTGGTGATATTTAAAGAGCAAATGGCCTGGAGAGGGGGAAGCAGCAGTTTCAACGTGGCTTTCCTTGTAATAAAAACCAAAGAGGGAAAATTAAAAGCAGCCGGCTGGAAGCGGATATGCTTCCTGAGAGGGGGCTCAAGGAGTGGTGGGACTCACGGCCACAAAGAGTTTCTTTGACTCGGATGAGACCCAGGATATGGCCAAAGGATAAAAAAAGGATATGCAGCACACACAGAGCTGGGCTCAGGCGCTCCTGCATGGTCCCCTGGGATTTATCCCCACTTCCCTCACATCCCCTCCTGCTGCTTCTTCCCAAAGCCTGCTGGGGATCTCAAGACTGGGATGAAGCAGCAAGGAACCTCAGAAGAGCTGTGGGAGGGAGGCCCCTGAGCCTCCCTAGCTATCCACCTCACTCACTCCAAGCTCCCTGCGGCCAGTGTCACCCTGGGGGCTGGTTGAGCTGGAGCTGGGGACTGGAGGAGGCGCAGCAGTGGTGGAGGAGCGGGCACTCTGTGGCACAGAGCTTCGGTTAGCCCCAGCATCCATGGGGTGACACAACCGAGGCCCACCGACATCCCAGGAAAGCAAACCCCATGAAACCCATGCACGCAGTGATGCCCAAACCCTGGCATCATGGCCACTGGTGTCAACCCAGGAACTGGCCGCATGCACTTCCAGCTCAGGTGCAACCCCTGGGGAGATGCTGCGGATCTGGAGCTGGTGCTCCAGTGGGAGAGCAGCTTTGGAGTGAAGCACTTGGGGCTCCAGGAACCTGATGAGCTTTGGCAGGGCTTCAAACCCTGCTGCCCCACCTGAGAAGGTTCTTCCAAGTGTGGGCTTCTGCTTGCTGGTGGTGACCGTGGTCATGTACAAGCTCAGAGGAGAAAACCTGCCCTGCACTAGCAAACACGCGGCCATGGTAGCGACTCTGTGAGGACACGAGCAGACCTGGTGTGACCATCTACCAGGTGTCCTCAGCTTCAGCCAAGACTGCTTTCATGGAGACATCCCCAGAACCCTGAGCACCTCTAGCCCTGACCTGGTACTTGGGATGAGGCATTTCAACCAGGGCAAGACCAACACAGGGAACAGGCAGCCCCTGCCACCACGGCTTCCAGGTGGAGCCACATGCTGACTGGCACTGTGGTCACCAGACATCACAGGGATGCAGCCGCTGTGGGCACTCTGGCAGGTCTCCCTCACCATGGGGGTCCCCAGAGCCGGTGGGGGCTGGAGGCATCACTGGACCATGCACCAGAGGGACTGGGAGCGCTGAAGCCACACAGGCTCTGCTGTGCTGTGTGGGGTAACGCTATGAACACAAGACAACCCCTGACCAAAGCCTTTCCTCACAGTGAAAGAACACCCTCAACCCCAGGAACAGGCTCCAGGAATGGCCCCAGCCAGGCTGGCACGTGAGACCATCCCAACCATCCCTCTGGCCTCTGCGACGCATCCTCAGCCCTTCCCGGGTCCACTGCCGCCCTGTTTACATAGATCAGCTGTGTGGGTGCCAGTTGCCTCTGGGCCAGCATGGGGAAGGTGCATGCAGTCCCCATACGCCCCCCCTGCCCTCACTGCACACAGGCACCCTCTGTCCTTCCTGATCCCTGCCTGGCCCCTTCCACAAACATGGCCTCTGTTATCCTTGCAGCTGGAATGTTTCTCCAGCCCTGGCACACCCTGCTCTGGGGCAGGGCTTTGCTGGGCCTCACATGGTGAGGAGCTGTGCCCCCTGCTCTGATGCTGGAGCTCCAGCACAGTGTGCTGGGATGGGGGCCACCTTCATCCCCCCCTGCCTGGGATGGGGAATTTGGCCTCACACCGAGGTGCTGCATGCCAGGATGTGGCTGCTTAGGGCATCACGCCAGCACCGCACACCTGGGGAGGTGCTGGGCCTGGGGGAACATGGCACTGAGCCCCATGCTGGCATAGGGTAGGGATTGCTGTCTTCACCCCCCGGTTTATTCCACAGGGTCCTCTCCAAGGCAGCACATCCCCATCCTCATGCTGGGACGAGTGCAGAGAGGTTTCAGAGCATATGGGGTGCAGTGTTCCCCAGCTGCCTGGATGTGGGGAGTCCTTAGCAGCTGCAACACCCCCAGACCAGGAGCACTGCTGGGTGTGAGCAGCCCCTCTATGAGCCCTGTTAGCAGTGTCTGGGCAGTGCAGAGAGCTCCCTCAAAATCTCTGCTCCTCCATCCCCAGCTCCGCTGTGCACAGCAGAGGGGTGGGCTCTGGCCCCAGCTTCGATGCTCTGGCCCCATACAGAGCTGGGGCAGGGTTAGGTCAGGACCAAAATCACAGATAAGGCGTTCTGCTGCTGCAACGTGGACTGTTCCTGTAACCAGGAAAAGGGAACCTGAAAACCTCACAAAAGAGCTCAGCAGAGCTCAAGGGACCAGGTACTTGTCCTAGCGAAGCAAAACAATGCATTTTGAGATCTAGAAGCTGCAGACTGAGAAACAGTTGAGCTCCTGCGAGCCCAGCAGCTCGCACCAATCACTGAAACGGTCCCAGGGACGCATGTGTCCCTACCACCGCTCTGCCATGCTCACCACCCTGGGTTTAGGGCTGGAAAGGATGCTGTCGTGTGCTGCCACGAGGAGTCAAGCCCACAAGTTTTGGCTCTCTGCCCCCTCCCCAAAGCTCAGCACCTTACCCACGACCTTGGGTAACTTCTGGCGGCGCAGGGGGATGCGTGGGAGCTTCATGCCAATCCGACTGAAACGCCCGCACAAGCGTGTCGGTGGCTTTTTGGCTGCTACCGGGTCCTGGCTGGAGCTGCAAGAGAAGGCGACGGCCCCATCAGAGAAGCACTGGCACCCATCCTGCAGTGGGGAACAGCCTTCACGGAGTGAGACAGCGAGTCAGGAGCTCAGGGATGCTGCAAATGCAAAGGGTGTTTGGGAAAGAGCCTGGGAAGGTTTGGAACAGGAGGGTGTCCAGGGCACAGAGGGTCAGGGACTTACTGGGGCTGCTGCCAGCCCCAGGCACCAGCTTGCACATTGCACTGGGATGCAGAGCCAAGGGGAGATGCCAGGGCCAGATTCAGCTGTGGCCATCAGCAGCCCAGCCCCAAAACACCCACAACAGCAGGCCTGAATCTTTTAAAAAAAAAAAAAAAATTAATCCCAACCCCAAAACAAACACGTGGCTTCTCTTTATTTGCTCTCTGGTTTTGAAGCCTCCCAGGGCTGAGGTTTCAAGCAATTATCTGCAGCCACAGGAGTGAGCGGCTTTGTGCGTTGATGCCAGGCAGCTTGTGTCATGCCCACCTCAGGATGCTCCAGCAAGCACCATGGGTGACCCAGCTGTTTGGGGACATTGCAGGGGTCCAGGCACCCCAGGGAGAGAGGAATCTATTTTGAGGCATTTCCTCTCTCCCTGTGCGACACTTTACCATGCTACGTTTGTGCTTTTATCTGCCAGATAATTACATGCAGTCCGCAGGCTCCCCAAGGCAGATGTGCCAGGCTGGGATTGAGCTGGCAGGGCTGCAAGAGGAAGCTTCCGGAAAATGCCCATGCAGCAGCTGCCAGCACAAGGGGAGGCTTTCTCCACAGCCAGAGCAGCTCATCTCTTGCTAAGCAGCATACGCCTTTCTCCCTGCAATGGGGCTGCCCCATCCCCATCCCCGTGGTGGGATGTCACCCAGTGCTGCCAAAACACTGCTGGCATCCCAACCTTGCTGAAGGAACTCACCCTCACTGCCCCGAACATCCTCATGCAGGACATCTGGCAGTCCCATAGCCCATAACCCCACCAGGTTATGGCCCAGGGGTTTGCTCTGGGGCTCTTGGTCACATCTGGATGCCCTTGCTGTATTTTAGGGTTCTCTTTGCCACTCAGCAGGGGGCCAGAGCTGATCTGAAGGGACCTGGTGGGTCTCTGTGAAGTCCACGAGATGGGGGAAACCAAGGCAGGGAGAGGGGAAAGGGACTCTCAAGGCAGGGCTCACCTTGAGCCCTTCCAGCAGCCCCCCAGCCGGGTGCTGCCCTGAGGATGCAACGGGTCATGCTCAGATCCTGGGGACTCACAGGACACATGGTGCCAGGCAGACAGCACTGCTCTGCCTCAGTTTCCCCAAAGCACTACTGTCCCAGTGCAGTCCCTGCATGCTCCCACTGGTCCCAACCCCACACCGGGCACCTACGGCCCCAACTGTCCCCAGACCTGCAGCTCCAACCCTGCTCAGGCTTTGTGTCAGAGCCCAGCGAGAGCCCGCCTGGCCCCAGCACTCACCTGCGGGCTTCATCCTTCTTGCGGCAGACGCAGCAGCAGCAGAGCAGGGAGAGCAGGAGGATGAGCAGCAGTGCCAGGAGGGCTCCTGCTCCAATCACCCCCATCCGCTGGTTGGCCTCTGCAAGACAAACCCGGCCATCTCAGCCC